ATAAAAGTAAGGAAAAATGAAAAATTATGATGTTTATGGTAAAGTAAACAGAGACAGTCCCGGAACCGAATTTGGGCAAAAAGGAATAACTAAAGCTATTGATGGATCCTGGGTCGAAACGGTGCTTGTTCCGAATATAAATACTTAACAGACTAAGCTGTTTAAAAGAATGAGAACTGTTAAAGGGCATGCTTTATTTATTAAATTTTCTTTTAATAGTTTTAGCTTCTTAATAGAAACCAATAACTTCAAAGATATTGATATCAAAGTAGCGAAATCAATCATTCGCTTGAACGTCACCAATACACATCCCCCTTCTAGCTCTTTGATTTCTATTGGAAGTTGTCTGTACAACAGCTAGCATTGTTTAAATTCAGACAAGCTTGTTATTTTTAAAGGAAAAATAGACACAATAGTTTATAAATGTACTAAAAGAGGATATCAGAAAAGCCACTCTTTATTTCATTCCAATTTTTTAAGAAAGATAACCCAACCCGTTTATTATTAGTATCATGCCCCTCAAAAATTGATCGACAGTAGCCAATAAAGGAATCTTTAATCGCAATAAAGTATTGATTCTTACAGCAACCGATAAAATCTTTCTATCAATTATAGAAGTATTTAAAAAAAAAATTAAATAAATCTTTTCCTTGTAAAAGCTTTAGTTAAAACTAGGTCTATATACCTTTCATTCTTAGAAGGGGCCTTCATTCGATAATTGCCTAAATTTAATTTTTTAGGGCACAAAAAATAAAAAAAAATATATTAAATGATTTATTTCAAAAAGGATTTTTATAATTTTAGTATATAACTCGGCAAGCTCTTAATTGCTCTTATTTATTACGTAACGTCTTTTAAAAGTATTTTGTATTGGCCAATCATCAATATGGTTGTGGTTTGTCCCATGCTCTTTTCTCATTGAGCCTTTCATGTGCACCCAAAACCCCTCTATTGTATTTGTATGTGTACCATTGTCCCCTCTAAACCCCACAGAACTATTTAACCAGGGTTGCTCGACTCCTAACGCAAAAGCAGTAAACGGATACAACGAGTGTACATCCGTGTATAGAACGTTTCTATTAACGACAACTCCACCCATATCTGCGGTAGGGTCGTCAACGGTTCTAGTTTCAATTTCTACAAGAGAAGTTTTCGCTGGTTTTTTATAAATACCGCCGAATATCCAAACTGTATCGAGAATAGCATCATCTGCGGCTTCGGGGCAACGAACAACCCCGCGTCTTGATAAAACACACTCGTAAACTTCAACAATAATACCTAGTCCGTCTAAAAGAACGGGTCTCTGTTGGATATAGACTCTGTATGCATCTAGAAGCAGAGCTTTATATCTTGCTATTGTAGAGTCGGATAAAAACAAAAAATGATTGACCTGACAATGGCTTGCATCAAGTATGAGGAGATAAATCAAGTGCACTACATCTGTTAGAAAGATCCGAGAGCGAAACAAATAATGTCGCTTTTGACTTTTGCGCCCCCGGGCATCTATACAGTATCACATATAAATCAGTAATTAGCCCCATATGAGGACATAATTCTCTACAATTATCACAAATCACTGTTGTTGTGTCATGTCCCGTGTCAGGTAACCAAAACGAAAGCTAAGTTCTGCTAAAGCACGAATATTTTTATTGTATTTCAGATTCTTCTTTGAGTAACCGTACTTGGTGAGATTTCATTGTTTTTATAAATTTTCATTACCCTTCTTTTCAAAATTTTTATTTATAAAAAATTCAAAAAAATAGCAAGAAAAGAGGAGAATAATAATTTAAACAAAAAATGTTGTGGATACCACATGTTGATATAATATTATTTGATTACAAATAAAAATTTAACTCGTTCATACAAATAAAAATTTTATCTTTAATCCCTATCCTTATAAAGGGTAAAAAAATATAAAAAAATATTTTGATTGAAAGACCAAACAAGTAGAATATAATGTTTTATATATTCATTTGTGATATAGAGTATCACAACAAATCACAAGCCAATATATACAGGATATTCACCACCGAGGTAAGTCCGTATATTAAATTCTAAGGAAGCCCAGTTAAGGTTTATTTTTAGATCCTTTTACAATTTATAAATTTTCTTTTAGTTTATCGAAAATAAAAACTATAAAAAGAAGGGTAGATGAATTATGGAAAGATCAGTAGTAAGCAATTAGAAATAAATGGAGTGATTCCACAAATAGTAGAGGAACACGAAAACAATCAAAAAGCATAGTTGAATATTATTTAAAGTTTAGGAAAACCCCTTCAGTACAGGACAATATTCAAAATTAAGATATTTTGGTAATAACTTATTCCACATTTATATATTTTAATTTATTAAATAAGAATGTTTGTTTGCAATATTGTCATAATGCAACCAGCACATGACTACTGTCATGCCACAAACATGAAAAATAATTGTTTTGGGATTTCCAAAACAAAACTGATGGTCTGAAACAGTGTTTTGAAATGAAGCAATGTTTTATATATTACTATTTAAAGAAAAATAATTTTAAAAGGATGCGTGAAGCAACTAAGAAGAGTATTAGAAAGCTTTCGAACTTTAGAAATCTTTATATAATAAATAGTTTTGTTGAAAAGTATTACATATTTGGTTGTTACCCTTCGGGGCAAGACATTTAAGCTTTAAGAGAATAAGTCCCCTTAAAGTTGAGAATAATAGGGATAATACAAATAATAACATAATTCTATTTGATATGAAATAAATTGGGGGGGGGGTCTAATCCGATGTTTAAAGAGATTTGTGTGTTATTGGGGATATCAGGAGTATGAATGTAGTAACTTGGTTTTCTAATTTCGAAAAAATAGCACAAGAAAATGAATGGAATAAGAATCAAATTAGTAGAGCGTTAAAAAATTTAATAAAAGATGTTGAAATAGATAAAAACATTTAACGGAAGAAATGTCAAAAATTTAATCCATAATAGTCAAAGAAATATACGGTGATGAAGCAATAATTATTAAAAATCAATTGAAAAATATCAAACAATATGACTTTAAAAACATTAAAAAGTATAAATATACTATTTTAGAAAAATCAAATCTGTATAGCCTAGGTGTTGGTTGTACTAAAGATGAGTTTAATCGTAATCTCGTCCAAGCATTCTTTGATGGATTAGGTAAAAGAACGAGAGAGGATTTTATTGAATGCAATTTGATGTATGATTTGGAAGGGACAGAGAAACATTTACGTAAACTCGAAAAAAACACTCTGTAATGAAGGATTGTTAAATGAAAATAAAAGTATTAAAAACAATGGAATTATGAAAAGAAATTCAATAAAGGAAAAGCCTTAAAGGCAAATATTTATAGTAACCGGTGGTGTCCAAAGTGTAGAAACACTATGCATGATACCAAATATTGTTGGTGGAAAAGAAAAATATAACAAAAAAAATGATCAAAAGGATAAAATTGATCGGGTTATTGGCGGAAAAAGCTTTGAGATTGAAAGCGTTAAAATTCAAGCTATAATAAACGTCGCGAGTTCGGCTCGCACCCGGGACATAGCCGCACATCTTATTTTTTGTTACAAATTTTGAACTTCGACGTTTTTTACATTATATTATAGACGGCGCCCCATTCCAAAACCTATACTTAAACTTAAATATTCTTATACAGGAATCGAACCTGCAGATTCTTTCAAATGTACCAAGATAAATCCAACTGCGATACTTGTCACGCACATTTTATTAAAATTTTACATAAATAATTTTACAAGTGGGGATTTGTTGAATAAAGGTGGGTTAGAAATATTTTAAATTCTGCAATATATTTAAAAATAAAGAAAATGAATTTTTTTAAATTCTTTATTTTTAGCCCTTAATGGTATCAGTTATAAATGATAAGGAGGAATATGATGCAACAATGGCCATCCTTTTAAAGCTGCCGTTAGAGACGGATTTGAATAGATACCAAGTCTTTAGGTTCCGTAAGAAGGCGGAACACCTTCTTGTACTAAATGACACACTCTACTTAAATGTTAGAGAAGGACTGCACAAAAAAGTGTTCTACAAGACCCAGGTCGATATCATGGCATTAGAGATTAAATGAC